TGCAGAGTCCCTTTTGCCATGTAACATTTTCACATATTCCAGGGAATAGGATGTGGACATCTTTGGGGGACCATTATTCAGCCTACCATGCAGATTGAGGTCATTCTCTATTTCTAGTTGAGATTTGTTGGGGTTTTTTTAAACCATGAGTGGGTGTTGGATTTTGTTTATTTCTTTTTCTGCACCTACTGTGGTGCTCATGGGGTTTAAGGATTTAATCTTTAGTATAATAGATTATATTAATTGATTTTTAGATGGTAAACCAGTCTTTCATTCCTCGGATAAATCCTATATGTGTATAATCATTTATATGTTTTTGGATTAGGCTTGCTAATATTTTGTTTAAGATTTTTGTGTCTGTGTTCATGAGAGATATTGGTTTGTGGCTTTCTTAGCTTGTGATGTCTTTGTTTAGCTTTGGTTTCCATTTAATACTGACATCAGAATAAGTTGGAAAATATTCCCTCCTCTATTTTCTGAAAGTGTTTGTGCAGGATTGATATTATTTCTTTAAATATTTGGTAGAATTCATGAATGAAGCCACCTGTACCTGGACTTTCTTTGTGGGCAGTTTGTTGGTTACTAATTTAACCTCTTCACTTATTATAGGTTTATTCAGCTATTCTCCTTCTTGAATCTGCTTTGGTAATTTGTATCTATTTTTGAATTTGTCCATTTATCTAAGCTTTCTCATTCGTGGGCCTAAAGTTATAATATTCCTTTAGGATTATTTCCATTTCTTTAAGGTTGGTTAAGATGCCTCCTCTTTAATTTTTGATTTTACTCATTTTTGTCTTCTCTCTTATTTTCTTGGTCTAGCTCAGGGTTTGCCGTTTTGTTAACCTTTTCTAAGAAAACAACTTTTGGTCTCATTGATTTTTCTCTATTTTTCTGTTTTCTATTATACTGGTTTATTCTTTGATCTTTTATTATTTGCTTCCTTCTGCTTACTTTGTGTTTAGTTTTCTCTTTTTCTAGTTTCCTAAGTTGGGAGTTCAGGTTATAGATTTGAAACCATTATTCTTTTATGATATAGGTGTTTAAAGCTAAAAATTTCTCTCTGAGCATGGTTTTAGCTACATCCATAAATTTTGATATGTTGTATTTTCATTTTCATTTAGTTCAAAATATTTTTAAATTTCCTTTGTGAGTTCTTTGACCTATGGGTTATTTTGAAGTGTGTTGTCTAATTTCCAAATATTTTTGTTTTCTCAGATTTCTTCCAGTAGTGCATCCCTAATGTGATTTCATGTGGTCAGAGAAATACATTATATGATTTCAAGCTTTAAAAAATTTTCAAGACATACTCCCACCTTGGGGCCCTCACTCTAATGCCGACATGGTAGATTCTCTTACATTCTTTAAGTCTTCTCTTAAATGTCACCTCAGTGAGATCTCCCCAGACCTACCCAGACCAAATTGCAACTACCAGTATTACCATCCCCTGGCACTTCCATCACCCCATACTGCTGTATTTTTTTCTTTTTCATAGCACTCATAACCTCCTAACATAACTTTGTAATATAATTGACTTAGCTCTATGAAGGTAGGGATCTTTGTTTTATTTATCGATGTATCTCAAGAACCTAGAATAGTGCCTGAATAGTTACTGAGTAAATATTTTTGAGTGTATACATCAAAATATTTATCCACTTGGTCATGTGTAGCTAAAATTTGTTCACTTTCATTGGAATGTGATATTTCGTTATATAAACTTACTACAATTTTATAATTGATTATTCTTAGCTGGACACTTGTATTTTTGCTAGTTTCAGGCTATTATAAACAACACTAATCTAAACATTCTTATTATCCTGGTACACATATGCCCAAATTTTTCTAGGGTATGTATGTAGGAGTGGAATTGATGGGTCATATTATGAGCATATATTCGACATTAATAAATAATAGCACTGTGGCTTGCACTAAGGTTGCACATTCCTACCAGCAATGTATGAGGGTTTCATTTGCTCTCCGGTCTCACTGATATATGATATTGGTATTTTTAACTTTTTGCCAATGTGGCAGTTTCCTATTAGTATCTCATTTTCTTCTTAATTAGCATTCTGCTGAATTCTAATATGGTTGAGTAATTTTCCATATATTTATTAGCCCTGTGCATTTCTTCTTTCGTGAGGCACCTTTTCATTTCAACTTTTGCCCATTTTCTTAATGGTTGTCTTCTTTATTGGTTATTTGGGCAGCAAATATCTTTTCCCATTCTGAGACTTTGCTTTCTCTTGATATTTTTGATGACCAGAAGTTTTTTATTTTAATTTAGTTGAATTTGTCAATATTTTCCTTTAATGGTTAGTGATTTGGGGGACTTAAGAAATCCTTCCATAAGTATTCTTATACCTTGCTGGTGGAAAGGCAGAAAAGTACAACTCCTACAGAGTGAAATTTAGCACTATATAGAAAAATTACATACACATTTGACCCTTTGTCTCTGCAAAGCCACCTCTTGGAATCTATTTCAAAGATGTACTAGGAAAATACAAAATTCTTTATGCACAAGACTGTTTTTCAGGACATTAGTCATAATAGCATAAAAGACTGGATACAACGCCAGTGTGTATCAGTAGGGAGTGGTCGAATAAACCATTGTACATCCACACAGTGGAGTATTATGCAGCTCTAAGAGGAAGGGGAAGAGCTCTACATATTAATATAGAGTTCTCTCCAGTATATATTGTTAAGTGCAGAAAAGTAAGTTGTAGAACAGTGTTTGTAGTAAGTTACCATTTATGTAGGAGAAGGGTATAACTAAAGAATTATACATATATGTGTGTTGCTTATATTTGCTTATATTTTCAAAGAAGAAAGAATGGGACCATAAAGCCAAAACCTAATAAAAATTATTATTTATGGGGAAGGAAAGGAATGGGATGAGGGGGACAGATGGAAGTGAGACTTCTGTGGAGGTACTGTAGAACACATTTACGTAATTTTTAAAAAATCAAAAAGGGGAAAAAAATTCCTAAAATTTATAAACAACCCGAAGCAGATGAATCTAACTATAAATAAAGTTAATAGCATAACCATACAGAGAAAACATTTAAAATGAATTTAAAACAATTCGTACATTCCTAATGGGATATATTTTAAGGACAAAAGTAACTGCAAAGAAATATAAAACTATATTCAGTAGTTTTATTGTTGATAGTATTGTTACTGACATTTTAAAATTCTATAAATAATATTGTAGGAAAAAGCTAATAAATAATTTTGTTATGTTAGAAGCCAATATTTTAAGCATATGTGAAAAAAATGCAAGACTAAAATCAAGAAGTTTGAGTAAAAACCTTACAATCTTAAAATGGAAGTGGAAACACAAGTATAAACTCATTATTTTTCTCTTGGAAAAAAAAAGTCCTGGTTTTGTCCACCGACAAGGCCTAGAAGCAACAAGTCTGAACAGCAATGAAAACAACCTAGCAACACACTGTGCCGCTAAATACTGTTTCCCACCAAAAGAAGCCAGGGGTCCTCGGAGAAATATTCCAGGTTTAAATCAGGAAGTGTGCAGGATGAGCTTGGGACATCTTGCTGTGCCAGAAAACTGAAAAGCAATACAGGATCCAATTTGAAGGGACTAAGTGGGATAAATTGACCACTAAAAAAGAATAATGAATACATTTCATTGAAACACATCAAATATTTGAAAATACACGATCTCGTAATTAAAAATAATCATTGGTCACCACTAGACATCTCTAAGGTATCAACTCATTACTCTCATAGGTGGCAAATTGCGGGGGTGGGGAGCAGGAATCAAGCATTTGTCCTGCCTTTCATGTATAAGCTATATGTAGAGAAGCTAAATAGTTGATGACGGTAAGTGTGTTATAGATTCCAGGTAATAAATACAAAAGAAATAATAAAATTAATAAATACACAAGAGTAGACTTAGGGGAGTTCCATTTTACAACTCTTAATAAATCTAGGCAGTGATCATCAATGGATGCAAAACCCATGGGGTAAAAGATGAATTGGTAAACTTCATAATGGAGGATCAGACTAACACCACCTGAATCCACTGATCAATTTTATCATCACTAAAAATGGAACCACCAAACATTATGTGCCTCATGATTTAATAGGAAGTACACATCTACCTACGAAGGATTCTTGCCTAAAAATATTGAACTCGTGTCTCATCAAACCTCTAGATCAGCAATATCCAGTGCAACTTTCCTGAGCATATAAATGGTCTTTATCTTTTCTTTCCAATATGGTATCCACTAGCCATACATGGCTGTTGAGCATTTGAAATATGACTAGTTTAACTGAGAAACTGACATTTAAAAGATTAATAGATTTATGTGGCCATCGGATATTGTATTGGATAGAATAGCTCTCGATTTAACTGACCATTTGTAAAAAATGGAGGGGATTGAGGAACAAGTTAAACAATTCCATGAGGAACAATCAAATTCCTTTTTTCTGTGAACATATGTTGTGGTTCCTCTATTAAATCAGTGGATGGGGGGAAATGGGTTGGAGGGGTGGGAAAGAAGGGATACTGCTTTAAAATAAAAGAGGCTTAAGAGATATAACAGCCAAAGGCTGGTTTAGATCCTAAATAGAACAAACAAGTGTAAAAAGATATCTTTGAGATAATTAAGACCATTTGAATATGAACTTGGAATTAGATGATTCTAAGGAATTATGATGAATCTTGTAACGTGTGATTATGTCATACTGCTTACATTTTTCAAATGTCCTTATCAGTTAGGTGCATGTACTTGCGTGCCCCTGAGAGTGAGCACCTCCTTTATTTTGCAGCGCAGGTGCCTCAGTTGCCTCACAATAGTGCCAGCCTTGCTTGAGATGCACAATAATAAAGTAGCTATTTATATACTGTTGTCATTTGTAGTAGGTTTTAAACACCTGACCTAGCAGAATTTCTGTATCTGAAATCCAAGATTTAATTTTTATTGTCAAAGGTTGTATTGGTAGGCTTTGTAGAACTTCCCTATCTCTTTGTCTTGATCCAGATGAACCCCAAAAGAAGAACAAAGGTGATCCCATGAACAACCTGGAAAGTTTTTACCAAGAGATGATAATGAAAAAACGTCTCGAAGAGTTCCAACTTATGAGAGGTGAACCCTTTGCTTCCCACTCACTGGTCTCAGCTGCATCAGTGGGAGATAGTGGCACAGCTGAGAACCCGTCATTACTCCAGGACAAGGGAAAACAGGCAGCACAGGGTAAAGGTCCCAGTCTCCATGTGGCAAAAGTTATTGATAATTCACCTGAGCAGTGTTGGACTGGGCCTAAGAAGCTGACGCAGCCAATAGAATTTGTCCCAGAAGATGAGATCCAGAGAAATCGTTTGTCAGAGGAAGAGATCCGAAAAATTCCTATGTTTTCTTCATATAATCCAGGGGAGCCAAACAAGGTATAGGCTAAACCAAGAAAAAAAATAACATGGGTTGTTTTCATTTAATTTACTTCTACCTAAAGTAATACTTTTAAATTCGCTTTGATTATACCAAAGAATTGTCTCATAGACATAGTGATTGTGTTTTTCCTTGACTTTGACTATTCTTTCTCTGCATACTGTATAAGTAGCATATTTCCTATGATATTCTTTGTGGTTTTCTGTGTTCCTAGGCTGCCCTTAGAATTTTAAAGAAATCTTGAGAAGACTCTAGTCCATACCTACTAGAAGCCCTGAAGTAACCTCCAATATCCTAGGGTACTAATAAATCAAGTAGTATTCATAAGACCGCCATATCTGGTAGCCATGATGCCTTGGGAATTATTCGATAAATAATTGACTGCCTGGTTGTGAGTAGTAGAGTTTACTGTTATCATATGAGTTTGTTCTTTAGAATGTTTTACCTGGCTTTCATATGACTTAAGTTGCTAGTAGCTAAGCAGCGAAGTGAAAGCACAGGGTCTCAAAGTCTTAAGAAATTGGCAAATATCTAAGTAAAGGTATAAATAATCCTTGTTTTATATTTTTACTTTATAGCTATATATTCATAAACATAGTTTTACGTCTGTATAGATGAAATCATATTCTGCATATCCTGCTACAGCTTGCTTTTTTGACTCATACATGTTTTTGAAATTTATTTCTAATGATATAAGCAACTATATAGTATTCCATTGTAGAAATGTATAATTCATTTATCCATTCTTCTGAAGATTTTTTTCTTTTCATTTTTCCTATTACAAGCAATTCTGCAACAAACATTATTGCACAATTCATAGGTTACGACCAGCAATTTTTAATGAAATTAAATAGAATAGAAAAATTAAAATGCATCCCATAGAGTAAGGGTAATTAGTGTTTCTTGAAGCTTTTGTTTTGTGTGTGTTCGTGGGTGTGTGGTAGTGTATGTTTGTGAGAGAGGGGGCGGGGAGGGAGAAAGGAAGAGGAAGGAGGGGGCTATGTATGGGCTAGAACATAAAATGCATTTCTTCCTGTAGATCTTAGTCAGAAAAGTTGGATAAATATTTGACCCGTTGCAGTTATTCTCAAATTTTAGTGTGCACCAGAATCACCTGGCAGGCTTGTTAAAACACATTGCTGGGCTCTGCCCCCAGAATTTTTTATTCAGTAGGTCGAGTGGGGCTTGAGAATTTGCATTTCCAAGTTCCCAGGAGATGCTGTTAATGCTGGTCTGAGTGACATTTTATGAATCACTGTTCTAGATTACCTGCCTAGGAGTGGAATTACTGTGATATAGGGTATGTATGTCTTCAACTCCATGAGCAGGGTTTCAGAGATCTCTTTCACATCCTTACAGAGACTTTGTAGTATTAGACTGTTTTTTTGCCAGTCTAATATATTTAAAAGGTATCTCATTGTTTTGATTTGCATGTTCCTGATTTCCAGTGAAATTATACATGTATTTACACATTTATTAACCTTTCAGGGACCTTCTGTGAGTTGCCTCTTCCTTTTTGTCCATTGTATGATTAAAGTTTTCATATTATATATAGAGATCATTTAAAACTTCTGAATATAATCTCTTGCTGCTTATTTAGCAAATATAGCCTCCCAGTCAGTGACTTATCTTTTTAACATTGCTTCTGATGTCTTGTACTAAGCAGAAGTCTTTCATTTTAATGCAGTCATATTATCAGTGTTTTATTTGATGGTTTGTGCTTTTTGAGTCATTTTAAGGAATCCTTCTGTACATATCAATAAGAAAAACACAAACAACCGAATAAAAATGGTCAGATGATATGAATAGGCAATTCACAGAGGAGAAGACACGAATGACCAAGTAACTTATGAAGTCTCATTAGTAACCAAAGGAAATGCTTAACAAAACTACAATGAGATAACATTTAACACCCAGGATGTTGGCATACATTTAAAGGCCCGAGAATGCCAAGTATTGGTGAACATATGGAGCCATAAGAACCACAGTATACTTTTAGCTGAATATAAATGAGTACAGCCACTTTCAATAACATTGTGGCAATATCTGGTAAAATGGAAGATACTCATACACTATAAGTCAGCACTCCTGGGTGGCTATCCTAGAGGGACTTGCATATGTACATTAGGAGGTGTTATAAGGATACTAATCGTAGCATTATTTGTAAACAACATACATGTTCATCAGCAAGAGAATGGCTAAAGCATGATATATTCATAAAATGGAATACTATACAATAGAGAAAATGAATAAAATGTAACTACAGGTATCAGCATGGATGCAACTCAGAAACTTAATGTTGAATGAAAAAAGCAGACTTCTGGCTTCACCTCCAACATATAAAGTGTTTAGAAGTCGTCACTCCTGTCTTGAAGCAAGAAAAACAGCCAAACAGACTAAAAATCAATGACGTTTTCTTGGACCCATCAGAGAATTGAAGTCACAGCATATTGCAACCCCAAAATTTAGAGAGACAGGCAATTACAGAGAATCACAGCCAAGATCTGCTTATCAGGAGTGGAAGATACTAGAGCCATAAACTGGTAGGAATACCTAAGTGGTAACTTTGACAAATTGCTTGAGGCAGAGTGTAGATTAGTGTTTGAATGACAAACTCCTGGGGGCTGCAGTCTGTGGGGGCCCCAACACTTTCATGACTTTCACCTTTAGGAACCCCACTAAGTTCTCGAGTTGAAGAGTCAAGAAAAAAAATCTCCTGTTCCTGGCATGGGAAGGGGAAAAGTTATAATTTTGAAATACACCCAGAGTTTCCACGTAACAGAGGATTACCCAGAAAGTAAAATGACTTTACTAAAGCCTTCTCCACTGTGGGAGAAAGGACATTATGTGACTTCGGGTCCCTCTCGCTTTCCTGTCTCATCTAAGAGAGAGGGGAAAAAATTCTGTGAAACACTTGTGTAGGGTAACAGACTGGGGACACTTGTGTAGGGTAACAGACTGGGGACACAGGCACACTGAAAGACTGAAACTTTATACGATTGTAGAATGTTTCCCCTTACCCCACACCTTATCACCAACTCACGGCATCAGCTGTGGATTACAGCTGAAAGACCCGCAAAGCTCAGACTCTGTTCAAGAAGTTTTTAGGGAAACTCAAAGAAAACAGGGAAGACAAAAACGGACATTAGAGGAAACTGAAATCAGTGACACCTACAGCTAGAGAAAACATTAAACACCACCCAACTCCTCGCCAGATTAACATAAAACCTCACACTAACAGCCTGTTTACCTCAGTTCCTATTAACATTATTCATCATGTCTAGCTTTCAACAAGAAAGAAATAAGACTTGCTAAAAGAAAAACAGTCTCAAGACAAAACAAGCATCAGAACCAAACTCATATGACACAGGTTTTGGAATGATCACATATATGGAATTTAAAATAACTATGACTAATATGCTAAAGAGTCTGTGAGAAATTGTATACAACATGCGAAAACAGATGTAATGTAATATAAGCAGAGATAAACTCAAAAAGAGATGCTAGAAAGAAAAACATGATGCCTTTGATACGCTCATCAGTAGATTGTATACGGCCAAGGAAACAATAAGCTTGAAGGCATGTCAATAGAAACTCCTAAACTGAAATGCAAAGAGAAAAAATACTATAAAAAAATAGAGTATCCAAGAACTATGGGACAGTTTTAAAAGGTATATACATTTTTGGAATACCAGAAGAATAAGAGAGAAAGGAACAGAAGAAATACTTGGAGTAAGGATGGCTGAAAATTTTCCAAAATTAATGACAGATACCAGACCACTGATCCAGGATCTGAGCAGAGAACACTAAGCAGGATAACTATCAAAAAATACACCTAAGCATATCTTGTTCAAACACAGAAAACTGAAAACAGAAAAATCTTGCAAACAGCCAGAGAAAAGCACTTTACCTATAGAGAAATAAAGATAAGAATTGCTTTGGATTTCTCTTCCGAAATGATGCAAACAAGAAGAGAGTGGAGTGAAATAGTTAAAGTATTGAGGGGGAAAAAAACCCCACCTACCTAGAATTCTGTGTCCAGCAAAAAGATTCTTCAAAAGTTAAGAAAAATAAAGGTTTTATTAGGCAAAAAATAAATAAATAAATAAGGTAATTTGTTACCACTAAACCTGCCTTGCAAAAAAATGTTTAAAGTTCTTCAAAGAGAAGGAAAATCGTATTGGTTAGATTAAAAAGACCATATCTCTATAATAAAAAAAAAAAAAAAAAAAAAGGAGAGCATAGAAGAAGGAATAAGTGAAGGTAAAATCTTTTTCTTATTCTAAATGATCTAAAAGTAATAGCAATGTGTTAGATAATTATTGCATATATGGATAAGTGAAATGAATGGCAGGAATGTTATGAGGGATAGGAGGAGGGAATTAGTATTTAGTGTATATAACTATAGTACAGCATCTATACAACCTGTGAAGCGGTATAGGGTTAATTGACAGTAGACTTAGATTAGTTGTAAATGTATATTGCAAACTCTAAGGCAACCACTAAAAATTATAAAAAAGTATAATTGATATACTAAGAGGGGAGTGAAAATAAAATCATAAAATGATACTCATTCTCTAGTCTTTTACAGAAAATAGAAGCAAAGGGAACACTTTGACTTATTTTATGAGAACCAGCCTTAGTTTAATACCAAAACTAGATACATTACAATAAAGAAAACTACAAACTAATCTCTCTCATAAACATAGATGCAAAAAACCTTAATATTAGGAAAATCAAAATATTTGATTGAAAAAAAATATTGAGAAATCAAATCCAACAATGTATCAAAAGAATTGTATATCATGAACAAATGGGATTTATTCCATGTACCCAAAGCTGGCTCAAAAATCAATTAAAGTAATCTACCACATCAACAGAATAAAGAAAAGGTATCATATTATTCTTTCAATAGATGTAGGAAAAGCCTTTGGCAAAATCCACCCATTAATGACAAAAATTCTCAGCAAACAAGGAATAGAGGGGAACATCCTCAACT